TTTTTTTTTTTTTTTTTTTTTTTTTTTTAAGTTTTTTTTTTGAGACAGGGTCATATCAAGTTTGCCGAGACTGGCCTTATACTTGTGATCTTCCTGCCTCTGCCTCCTGAGTCGCTGGGAGTAAAAGGACTGGGGATGTAGCTTTGTGGTAGAGCATCCCTGGGTTCCAGTACCTCAAAAACAAACAAAAAAAGCCAAGCACAATGGCCCATGCTGGTAATCACTGTGTGAGGCAAGAGGTTTACAAGTTTAAGACCTGCGCTGGCAATTGAGAACTTGTCTTAAATTAAAAATATAATTTAGTAGTAAAGCATTTCTGGGCTCAATCCCCAGTACCAAAAATAAAAATACATATGTGTGGATATTTGTTACCACCCAAAGCTGGAAAGATAGACTGCTCCTACTGTTGTGGATGATGGAGTAAATATATGTGACCACATTTCAAGGCATATTCAATAGGCCTTGAAAGCTATGTGACCTAGAGTTAAACACCAGTGTTGAAAGGATTTTAGACATTTTTTATTTCTCTGAAATTAATCACTTACATAGCTGATACACACCCCAAATCACATGTGACATAGAAGTTTACATTTGAGTATGTAAATGTTGAAAGGGGTATGGAGGATTTCTCACCATTTTGTAGTCTGAGTTTTTGATGACTGGGAAAATAAGAGAAGAAAATGTGATAAGTCTGTAAAGAGTATTTACCTTGAAGTACTAAACCCTTTGTAATTCATGTAAAAATAGGTGAAGTCAGTATGTTTTTTAAACCATATATGAAAGATAAAAATATATATAGGATTGGGGCTCAGGTTATAGCTCAGTGGTAGAATACTTGCCTATCATGTGTGTGACACTGGGCTACATCCTCAGCACCACTGAAAACAAATAAGTAAAATCATTTTAAAAATGCACACGTGTATTTCTCAGCACCACATAAAATAAATAAATAAATAAAATTTAAAAAAAAACATACACGTATATAGGATTAAACTCCAGCCATTTTTTTTCAGCAACATGAAACATTCCTACCTAATGGAGATCGAGCCGGCTTCTTAATAGGTGATGGTGCAGGTGTGGGAAAAGGCAGGACGATAGCAGGAATCATCTATGAAAATTACTTGTTGAGTAGAAAAAGAGCATTATGGTAAGAGTTTGGTTTGTCTTCAGTAGCTCTCATTTCTGAATAATTAACTTCATATAGAGATGGGTTTTAGTGTGTAGGTCTTTTGAAGTGTCAAAACCTGGCTTTATTCCTGAATTCTAGAATGATGTGATTTGAATTTAATTTTTTTTTTTCTTTAAAACAGGTTTAGTGTTTCAAATGACTTAAAGTATGATGCTGAAAGAGATTTGAGGGATATTGGAGCAAAAAACATTTTGGTTCATTCATTAAATAAGGTATGAAAGTTTCCTGTTCAGTTGGAAATTTAGTAAAGTGTTGACGCCTCTTTGAGATGGGAGTAACAGTTTCTACTCTTTCCACAGTTGCTGAGGATTAAATGAGCTGTTCCATAGAAAGCGTAGTGAGTGCCAGCTGCTCTTTGAGGGTTTGACTCTTTGTCATATAGTAGCAAGCAAAATAGGCAAGTTCCCAGCTGTATTAGCATTTAGCCTCTAGGTCTTCAGTGTTAGTTTCTAGAGTAATTTTTTATGGCTATAAGGGTAGTGTAGAAAGGTAGTTGTGCCTGTCATTTTAGGTCACCGAATCCCCTGTAGTGGATGTAGGAAATTGGCTTGGAGACTGTTTTCAGTATTTGTCCAGCTAATGGACTTGCGTGTCTGCAAGAAAATGGATGTTGGTGTCTAAAGCAAATTTTAATTTGATTAGAACCTTATTGTTCATTTAGGAAAGCTTTATTAACATTCTGTGCATCTTTTACTTGTAAAGGTACATGTGACAGACATAGTTCCTTCAAATGACTCCCGATTGTCCTTAAAAATAAGTACATGTTGGGGCTGGGGTTGTGGCACGGTGGTAGAGTGCAATTAAAAAAAAAGAAAAAGTACATGTAAGTCTACTTTCCCAGTGAGTCCTAAATTGGTTCATTTTTTGCTGTTGCCTTTCCAATAAGCAAGTCACTGATGAACAAGGGATCTGAATAATGAATTGATGGGCAGTTAAAAACACTGTTTTGACTACAAACAATTTAAAGACACGTAGCTGGCATCTAAAAATGGTTTTTATTTTTGAGCAGTATAGATGAGTAAGAGCATATTAACTATTACTCATAAATCCATACTCTTAGAACTTAAATAACGGTGCCTGCCATATAATCAGTCTACAATAAATATTTGTGGAGTAAGTATTGTACCTTTTTCTTAGGGGAGTTTGGTTTTCATTTTTTGGTGATAGATTTTCTTGAGACTTTGAAAAGTAAATCCTGTACCAAAAAGTGTGTGTGTACACACAAGAAATTTTGCATATTGTCTTAAGTGGTAGTTTGATTTTTCTGTACTTGTCTTTAGCCTACCAGGTGAAGAGGTTGGGATGGGATAAATGTTTCCAAGAGAAAGTTATGCTAATCACATTCTTCTCTCTCTCTCTTTTCTTTTTTTTTTTTAGTTTAAATATGGAAAAATTTCTTCCAAACATAATGGGAGTGTGAAAAAGGGTGTTATTTTTGCTACCTATTCTTCCCTTATTGGTGAAAGCCAATCTGGTGGTAAATATAAAACTAGGTTAAAACAACTTCTGCATTGGTGCGGTGATGACTTCGATGGAGTGGTATCCTTTATGACAGTTGTATTTATTTTATATTTCTTAATTGCACAAAGATTTGTAAGGAAGTACCTTCACAAAGGTAGAATGCTCAGTTTAATAATTTTTGAAAATGAGCACTTTAATGATTAGAGTCTAAGGCACCTGGAAAATCTGTCAGATAGTGCATCAATATTTAAACTCCTGGTTTTGGGAAGTGTTTATATATAGGGGAATTCTGAATTATTCTGTTAACCTTTTTTTTTTTTTTTTTAAGAGAGAGTGTGTGAGAGAGAGGGGGAGAGAGAATTTTTTATTATTTATTTTTTAGTTTTCAGAGGTCACAACATCCTTGTTTGTATGTGGTGCTGAGGATCAAACCTGGGCCGCACGCATGCSAGGCGAGCGAGCTACCGCTTGAGCCACATCCCCAGCCCCCTGTTAACTTATTTGGGGGTTTATATTGCATATTTAAACATTTAGTGCCTGAGAATATTTTTTTCAAAATGTATTTGTTCATAGCACATTTTATATCATCGTGCATGAGAGACATAAAGTGTCCTGGTTAAATTAAAGTGCTGGTTAAATTAGTTGCCAATTATTCTTCTAAGTACATAGTTTTTACCAAAATATCTCTCTTGCAGCAGGTTTTTTTTTTTTTTTTTTTTTTCATTCTAATTAAGAACTTAAATATCTGTACGGGCACTGCGCCATTTGCCTGGAATTCCAGCTTGGGAGGCTGAGGCAGGAGGACTACAAGTCCTTGCACAGCTGGGTGATTTAGCCATACCCTGTCTCAGGATTTTAAAAAATAGCTGGACAGCTTGGTGTATTCCTGTAGTCCCAGTGATTCTGGAGGCTTATACAAGAGCAATGCAATTTTGGACCTGCCTTAGCCCTGTCTTAAAATTTAAAAAGACTGGGGATGTAGCTCAGTAGTAAAGTGTTCATAGGTTTAATTCTTAGTACTGTTCACATACACAGTGGTTAAGATAAATACCAAATTCAGTGGATTCCTCAGAGCCTGGGAGGGAGGGGGATGAAATAGAGGAGAAGCACTTCCTATGCGCCTGTAATCTTTTTTTTTTTTAATGATGTGCTGGCTCACCACATTTTTTTTTTTTTTTTTTTTGAAGAGGTGGGGGAGAGAGAGAATTTTTTTTTTTTTAATATTTATTTTTTTAGTTTCGGCGGACACAACATCTTTGTATGTGGTGCTGAGGATCAAACCCGGGCTGCACGCATGCCAGGCGAGCGCACTACCGCTTGAGCCATATCCTCAGCCCACGCCTGTAATCTTGAAAAGAAAACCAGAAGACATCAAAGAAAAGTTAATTTTTGCTGAAAATTCATAGGCATTTAATATTAATGTGATATGTTCCTTAATTTGTTCCTAATAGATAGTGTTTGATGAATGTCATAAAGCAAAAAACCTTTGTCCTGTTGGTTCTTCAAAGCCAACCAAGACAGGCTTAGCAGTTCTAGAGCTTCAGAACAAATTGCCAAAAGCCAGAGTTGTTTATGCTAGTGCCACTGGTAAGTAGTTTTCTAATGTAAAGAGATAAGTTGGGCTGGGGTTGTAGTTCAGTGGTAGAACAACTTGCCTAGTATATGCAAGGCACAGAGTTCGATTCATATAAATGAACAAAATAAAAAAGGCCCAAATAAAATAACACCAACTTTGTTTAAAAAAAAAAAGAGATAGGTATATGCCATTTTTGCAGTTCTAATAAATTCGGGGTTTTCCAGGTGCTTCTGAACCGCGCAACATGGCCTACATGAACCGTCTTGGAATATGGGGTGAGGGAACTCCATTTAGAGAATTCAGTGATTTTATTCAAGCAGTGGAACGCAGGTAATACGGTTTATGGCACATACTTTTCCTACTAGGAATCTTTAATAGATGTGTTACTGCTAAAACCCCATCACTGTATGTTAAGTCCTAATTTATTTACTGATAGTTACTGTGTGTTTTAATTTTATTCAGAGGGGTTGGTGCCATGGAAATTGTTGCCATGGATATGAAGCTTAGAGGAATGTACATTGCACGACAGCTGAGCTTTACTGGAGTGACCTTCAAAATTGAGGAAGTTCTTCTTTCTCAGAGCTATGTTAAAATGTACAACAAAGCAGTCAAGCTGGTGAGAAATGTTTCTTAATTTCTGATGCTTTTAATGTTATTGATAAGACTTCTGTTAGGTTTGTCCATTGTAGTGTCTCAGCCCACAAGAAACCATTTCGCTGGGAAACAACAAATAAATATTATGACAGGCTATTTACCCAAGTCATCATTTCCCAAATTTTCCAGGTTTTCCATTTATTTCGGTTACATAAATTTTGAAATTATAATGTAGCTATATCCTGTAAGAAAACTGCATTATGTATTAAGAAATTTTGATTCCAAGTTACTGAAGATTGAATAACTGCATTATATAGCTGTTTTCATAGATGAAATATGTAAAATGTTGATTCTGTATCTTCAGTGGGTCATTGCCAGAGAGCGGTTTCAGCAAGCTGCAGATCTGATTGATGCTGAACAACGAATGAAGAAGTCCATGTGGGGTCAGTTCTGGTCCGCTCACCAGAGGTTTTTCAAATACTTGTGCATAGCATCCAAAGTTAAAAGGGTTGTGCAACTAGCTCGGGAGGAAATCAAGAATGGAAAAGTAAGTTGGGGAAGACTTATTGGTTTTCCTTAAGTTGTTAGTTTTGTGGGTGTTTTTTTCTACTTGTGAGTTGTATCTTCTAAAGAATAGTTGCAAATATATTAATGTATTAAAACTTATAAACATACATTTTTAAAACCATAAAACCAGTATCTGTTTAGAAAATTCTTTAGATAGTTCAGTATATGATATAATAAATAATTCTATGTCTGCCATCCCTACCTGTCACTGCTAATGATCTGGGGATGTGTATCTCCTTAAACTGTTTTTTTTTTTTTTTTTCCTTTCTTTACTTTCATGGGGGATTGAAAGTAGGACACTTAATTACTGAGCTGCATCGTGGTCCCCCTTTTTTTAATATCTTCATTTTATTTATTTATTTTTATGTAGTTCTGAGGATTGAACCCAGGGTCTCGCACATGCTAGGCAAGTAGTCTACTGCTGAGCCACAGCCCAGCCCTACATCGCTAGCCTTTTTAAAAAAAAAAAAAAATTTTTTTTGTAGTTGTAGATGGACAGAATGCCTTTATTTTGTTTATATGAGGTGCTGAGAATTGAACCCAGTGCCTTATACATGCAAGGCAAGTGCTCTACCACTAAGCCACAACCCTAACCCTTGATGAATATAGTGTCTACTTAAAACACAAGAGCTGTAAACTCCCTAAAGGCAGGAATAGTAATCATGCTTCCTATTTATAATCTATTTCCTGAGTTTTTGAGATATAGTATATCTCAAATATATGTAATGAATCAAACATTTTTTACATTAAAAGTGTCATTCTATGAACATTTTGAATTCAAGGACACATAACCCCAGAGCCACATCCCCAACCCTGTTTTATATTTTATTTAGAGACAGGGTCTCACTGAGTTGCTTAGCTTCCTGCTGTTGCTGAGGCTGGCTTTGAACTTACAATCCTCCTGCCTGTACCTCCTGAGCTGCTGGAATTACAGGCCCATTCTTTGACTCTTTTTCAACAAGTTTTCACTATTTGAAAATATGTCTTCATAAGAAACCATAAGTATATTTTTATTTATATTAAATACACTTATAATAAATGCATTTTCTTTTCTCCAGTGCGTCGTAATTGGTCTGCAGTCCACAGGAGAAGCTAGGACTTTAGAAGCCTTGGAAGAGGGCGGAGGAGAATTGAATGATTTTGTTTCAACTGCCAAGTAACATTTTTGGTTTTCTTCTTGGGTTTTTACTTAGATTAGTTCAAATGTTGGCATTTCCTTGAGGCAGAATTTTTTGTTCACTTATATTTTCAAAAGTTTACCCTTCTGGGTTTTTGCAATTCTGTCCTTGTTTATATTGCAATGTCTTTTGGGAATTAATAATATAAAAATCTCATGATCCTGAAATGTTAAGCATTTTGCCAGTATTACACATAATATGTGAACTAACAGAAGAACTTAATTTTTGTGTTGTACATCTTAGAAATATGTGACAATGTGATTGGGTTTCAGTTAAGCTTTATGTATTTTTTATTTCGCAGAAGAATAGTAACTGTAGTCAGCCCCATTATAAGATATGCTAGAAAATATGGAAAATATTCTGGACATGTTGGTGTGTGCCTGTAATCCCAGCAACCTGGGAGCCTGAGGCAGGAGGATTGCAAATACAAAGCAACCTGGGCAACATAGTGTGAGAACCTATTTCAAAAGGGGTGTGGGGGGGTGAGGCTCAGGAGTATAGTGCCCCTTGATTAAATCCACAGAACCCCCCATATATCCCCATACCTAAAAAAAAAAAAAATAGACCTGAGATCTTCCAAAATCTTAAAAATATTCTGATAATAAAATTAGTATATAATCTTTATACTCTTTCTTGCCTTTGGGAATACAGATAAATACAACTGAGAACAGCTTAGCAAAATTTGTATTTTTCTGTATTTAACTACCTAGAACTGCCACCTGTCACATGTGGCTATTGAGCAGTTGAAATGACCATTCCAGATTTAGTAAAATACACACCAGAATTCAAAGGCTTCCTGAGGAAAAAAATATAAAACATCTTATTAAACATTGAAGTGCTATATTGAGTTAAAATATTATCAAGTTTATATTTTCCTGTAGTAATATGAATTAAATTCTGGCTATCTACCATTGAGCTACATCCTAGCCATTTTATTATTCACTTGTGTTTTAGAAACAGGGTTTTGCTAAGTTGCTGAGGTTGACCTTGAACTTGTGATACCTCTGCATTAGCCTCTCAAGTCACTAATATTAAAGGGTATCTGCCACTACACCTTGGGCTCCCCTCCACCCAAATAATGAATTTGATTGTGTTTATTTTGTGGCACCAGGAAGTAAATCCAGGGCCTCGCAGATACTGGGTCACTTTGTTGCCCAGTCTGGGATTGTCCTGAGTAGCTGGTTTGGGGGTTTGTTTGTTGTTGTTGTTTTCTCCTTTTCCCAGACAGGGTCTTGCTATTTTGCCCAGGCTGGTCTTGGCTCAAATGATCCTCCTGCCATGCCTCCAGGTAGTAGGACTACAGTTGTGTTCTACTATACCCATGTCTTTTACTTTATAGTGTAGCTATGAGGACATATGAAATTTGCTTATGTGATTTTGTGTGCAGTATAATAATTGTACAGATTTGACCTAGAAAATTAGAAATTGTTTGAACTGGGTTGTGTTTTGTAAGATTGAGCAAAGTGTATTTTTTCATAGAAATATATTTAGTAGGACTTTACATGTAATAAATTATTTTCTTTCCTACAGAGGAGTTCTACAGTCACTCATTGAAAAACACTTCCCTGCTCCAGATAGAAAGAAACTTTATAGTCTGCTGGGAATTGATCTGACAGCTCCAAGTAATAACAGCTCACCCAGAGATAGTCCTTGTAAAGAAAGTAAAGTAAAGAAGCGGAAAGGTGAGTGCTTTTCCTTAAATAGTTAATGTTGAAAGAACTTAAATTTAAATATTTTGAAACAACTTTGTTTTATGAGTGAACTACTGTCCTCACACTGGCAAGAGGTGGTCAGTTTTCACTGTTGTGCTTCTGTAGTATTGAGTGCAAAACTATACCGTGTTTTAATTTAGATCTTGAACAGTTGACAGGTGCTACATGCTGTGGTCAAGCATTTGGCCATATATTATGTTATTTAACCCACCAGAGGGCGTAGGAAATTAGATTTTGCTTTTTTAGTTTTTATAGACAGGAAAACAAAAACACAAAAAGATAAATAGGTTCAGGAATGTTCCAGCTTCACATGGCTAATGAACAATGCCATGTGGACCAAAATCTGGGACTTTCAATTTTTAGAACTGCTTTTTAATAAATAGAGTTGGGTGAGGAATTCAAAGAGCCTTTAGGCTGGGCATGGTGGTGCACACCTGTAATTCCAGTGGCTTGGGAGGCTGAGACAAGAGGATTGCAATTTGAAGGTCAGCCTCAGCAAGTTACCAAACCTTTTTGCAAAATGAAAAATGAAGGATTTGGGCAGGGTTTCATTGTAAATGCCTGTAATCCCAGGTACGCAGGAGGCTGAAGCAGGGATAGTAAGTTCAAGGCCAGTGTCAGCAACTTAGAGAAACTCTAAGCAGCTGGTGAAATGGCTGTCTCAAAAGCAAAAAAGGGTTGGGGATGTGGTTCATTGGTAAAGTACCCCTGGGTTGAGTCCTCACAACTAAAATAATAAGTAAAATAGTTCAGAACAACAGCTTGTTTACCTTTAAAAATGAGAATTTATAAATTGATTACTTTATATGTATTCTATGACCATGAACCTGTATTTATTATTTGGGCTCTTCCCACAACCTGTTACACAATGAAATTGTGTTTGGCCCAGAGATTCCGTCTTAAGTCTTTTGTCCTGAATTTGTTTTGAAATATGTGCACTTTGTAAGCAGGTCTGGAGTATGTTCTTGGATATCTGATTTTTTTCTCAAGAGTGATTGAATATAACCTGAGTTGTTAGGGGAGTCCAAAAGGTTAGCATTTGATTGCGAGTTTTCTTTGTAATTATATATTTTCCTAAATGTTTTCCTTCTGTGCTTCTCATTTGAATTAACTCATGACCTAAGTGTGATGTCCTGGTCTTTAAAAACGTATTTTGGCTAACTATCTTTTTTTGGGTCTTGAGAGTAGGTGAAGAAATAGCTCGAGAAGCCAAAAAAGCACGAAAAGTTGGTGGCCTTACTGGTAGCAGTTCTGATGACAGTGGAAGTGAGTCCGATGCCTCTGACAATGAAGAAAGTGACTATGAGAGCTCTAAAAACATGAGCTCTGGAGATGATGATGATTTCAATCCGTTTAGAGATGAGTCTAGTGAGGATGATGAAGATGGTAAGTTTTTCTGTGTATTGGGTGTGAATGAAGGATATTATGCTCCAGGGTATTAGACAATGGAATATTAGCATCTTTTTTTCTGGGTAGTGCAAATGGTCACATAGTCCTAACCTTTGCATGGTGGAAAGCTCCTAGCTTATCTGTCTTTGGAGGTTTGAACCTCATTTATGGCAGATGATAATCTGTTTTGAGCAGTTGTTTTAATTGAACCTCAAAATGTGGGATGGTGCCTGTGTTATATGGCAAGGTTGTACTGGACATTGTAGTTGATGACGACTCAGAAGTATCAGTTCACAATATAAAAATATTCAAAGGTTAAGGGTTGTCTTCTTTAAGTATTATGTGTTCAACAGATGATTTGACATCTTTTCTTGACTTTCAGATCCCTGGTTAATCAGAAAAGATCACAAAAAAAACAAAGATAAAAAAAAGAAGAAGAGTATAGATCCAGATTCTATTCAAAGTGCCTTATTAGCATCAGGTCTTGGATCAAAACGACCTAGTTTTTCATCTACACCAGTTATCTCACCTGCTCCTAACAGTACACCAGGTATCTTTGTAGAAATGTGCTTATGTGCTTTATCTGTAATATATGTAATATATTTATTGTGACAGTAGGGATTGAAGTCAGGGAACTCTACCACTGAGTTGTTATCCCCAGCCCTGTAATATTTTAATGTTTTTTGTTGTTGTTGTCAGTGGACTTTTATTTTACTTATATGTTGCGTAAGAATCGAATCCAGGGGCTGGGGATGTGGCTCAAGCGGTAGTGTGCTCGCCTGGCATGAGTGCGGCCCAGGTTCAATCCTCAGCACCACATACAAACAAAGATGTTGTGTTTGCGAAAACTAAAAAATAAATATTACGAATAAAAAAGAAGAATCGAATCCAGTGCCTCATACATGCAAGCTATAACCCCAATGCTCTCTTTATTTTTTGTTTTGAGATGGTCTCACAAAGTTACCAAGGATGCCCTTGATCTTGCCACCCTGTTGACTCATCCTCCCCATTGTTGGGATTATAGGAGTATGCCACTGTGCCTGACTAAAATATGCTTTTTTATGGTACAATGGACTGAACTCTTTAGGTGCTCTACCACTGAGCTTTGTCACCCTCTCCCCCTCTTCTTAGTTGTAGTTGGACATAATACCTTTATTCATATTTTTATGTGGTGCTAAGGGTTGAACCCAGCACCTCACATATGCCAGGCAAGCACTTTACCACTGAGGCACAACCCCAGCCTCTATTTTCTATTTTGAGACAGGGTCTGGCAAAGTTGCCCAGGCTGGCCTCAAACTTGAAATCCTCCTGAGCCACTGGGATTATAGTCATGGGTCAACACACCCATCTTTAAATATGGTTTTCTTCTCTGTGAGTGTGTAGTCTTTATATATATTTTTTCACTTGTTGGACTTTCAGTTTATTGATTGATTGATTGACTGAGGTGCTAAGGATCAAACCAAGTGGTGCACGCCTCTGAGCCACAACCCCAGCCCCCAAAATTTACTTTTAAATGAAACAAGTTTTTAAACTTTGTATTGATTTTTTTTAAAAAATATTCTTTTAAATCTAGCTAATAGTAACACCAACAGTAACAGTAGCCTCATAACAAGTCAGGACGCTGTGGAAAGGGCCCAACAGATGAAGAAAGACCTACTGGATAAATTGGAAAAGCTTGCTGAAGACCTGCCACCTAATACTCTGGATGAACTTATTGATGAGCTTGGTGGTCCAGAGAATGTTGCTGAGGTAAATGTGTGGGACTTTATTAGAGCTATGTCTTTTTGGTAACAATGTAGCCACTTTTAAAAGTTATAACTGAGTGGTATTTAAGCCCTATGGAGTGACCTTGTGGCATGGGTATCACCACATCATAATCTGTCTGGTTTCCTCTGGTAACTCTTAGAACATTCATTCTACTCTAGTTGTCCTGGAGCTGATGAAGTCTTGTCTCCAGTATACAAGTGTGTCTGGAGCCCTGAGTCTCAGTGATTGCTACACTTGTCTTAGAGTCCTTGTGATGGTGGCCATGTGTCAGTTTTTCTCAGGGACTATGTTGCAGTATTTTCTATTTCTGCTACCTAAATTTCTTTAATGAAGGAGCTGCTGAGTTGCATGCCCCAGTGTCAAGTACCATTGTTGTAATGTCTTCATTTTTCTCAGATGACTGGCCGCAAGGGGCGGGTTGTGAGCAATGACGATGGAAGCATATCTTATGAGTCAAGATCTGAACTTGATGTGCCTGTGGAAATACTAAATATCACAGAAAAACAAAGATTTATGGATGGAGATAAGGTATGTTTTTCTTAGATGCTTTTATTTATAAAAAAGGGAAAGGAAGAATTCCCATATGTTAAGCTTTAGGGCTTTTTTCCCTATTTTGTGCGCAAATCCATGTGGTTCTGTGGATTGACCCCGTGGCCTTGTTCATGCTAGGCAAGTGTTCTATCACTTTGCTATGACCTTCATCCTCACAGTTGTTTTTTAAAAATGTTATAAAACTATGCCTAGTGTGGTGGTTCACATTTATCACCTGTAATGCCAGCTGCTTGGTAGGCTGAGGCAAGAAATTGCAGATCAGCCTGGGCACATTAGTGAAACCTTATGTAAAAATAAAAGAGGAGCTGAGGATGTGTAACTCAGTGCCAGAGTGTTTGCCTTGCATATTTAAGGCCCTGGATTGAATCCACAAGAGTGCATTAAAAAAGAAAAACCCCAAAACTATCAAGAACCATATCCGGTTCATTGTATTCAATTTATGATTAAATGATAATAAAAACACGTAAAATAGTCCCAGTTATTTACCAAAAAAAGAATAAGAGGCATGTAACTTCTGTCCTAAAGTTGTCTCCCCCAACACAACACATGCATGCATGCATGTATGTATGTATGTATGTATGTATGTATTTATTTATTTATTTATTTATAATGTGCTGAGGATCGAACCCGGGTCCCGCCTGTGCTAGGGGAGCACTCTATCGCTGAGCCACAATCCCAGCCCCCTAAACTTGTTTTCTAAAAATAAAAGGCAGTCATGGTACTGCACACCTGTAATCCCAGGTGGCTAAGACTGGAGTATCACAAGTTCCAGGACTCTGCAGCTAAGACCCTGCCTCAAAGTAAAAAGACCTGGCCATGTATAGGTCCATGGAAGACCGCCACTGGGTTCAGTCTCCAGTATTGCCAAAGAGAAGACTTGCTGTCCTCCTGCCCCAGCCTCTGAAGTTATTGGGATTACAGGCCTGTACCACTATGCCCAGCTTGTCCCCCACATTTAAACACGTTTTAGGATGTTGTACTTACCTTACCATCTACATCCCACTGGTTACATGCCCACTTGTAGCCATAAGGGAGACTTGGATAGCTGATCATGATTCTAGCTAGGCATTCATGTATCCAGCTAAACTGGGAGTCCTATTATTGAGAAAGGCAGAAAATAGTATTTAATTAGGGCCTGCCCTGTTTGTGTACAAAAGTGATTTTTTTCTCTTATATTTAATATAGAATATTGCTATCATCTCAGAAGCTGCTAGCTCAGGTATTTCATTACAAGCAGATCGGAGAGCCAAAAATCAAAGGCGAAGAGTTCATATGACTTTGGAGTTACCATGGAGTGCTGATAGAGCAATTCAACAATTTGGTGAGTTCTTACACTGAATTTTACCAGGTGGGTCCTGGGAATCATAGGGCAAGTGTGTACATACATACAATTTTAGAACTTGAAATCTTAGATTTTGCATTTAAGGTATATTGTATATACATTATGACATGAATTGTTTTCTGTTTTTAAAACTGTCTGCTGGGCATGGTGGTGCATGCCTGTAATCCCAGTGGGTCCAGAGGCTAAGACAGGACGATCATGAGTTCAAAGCCATCCTTAGCAACTTAGTGAGGCCTAGGCAATTCAGTGAGAACCTCTCCCTAAATAAATAATGTATTAAAAAGCACTGGGGATGTCGCTCAGTGGTAAAATACCCCTTCAATCCGTGGCATACAAAGCCAGCCAGCCCCCCCCCCCAATAGATAGATAGATATATATATGGGAGACTTCATGGACTTTCTGGCATTTTATCCAAGAATGGGGCTTCTTACAAGTATCTTCATTTTGGACCTGTAGGATTTATGGGGTTTGTGTTACAACATCTCTTTCTTCCATGTCCCTTTTTCAGTCCTCAGGGGCTCCACTGATGATACATCATTAGTGCTTTTCATTTTCATATTCTTGACACATGGTAATTTAATATCAACAATTTTGGCAGACTCCAAAGTGCCCGCATATTAGCAACATTATGGTTACCCAAAACTAAGCAATAATAATATTTTGGGTATTTAAGTCTCACAAAAGGCTCTGTTTCCTCATAAGGGGGAGTATTCCTCTGAGTATTCTTTCTTTTGTCAATATTTTCACCTGTATACTTTTGGGTAGCTATGGAAAATATTAAAAATTTCTTTGTTTTCCTCTTATGGGTTATTCAGTATAAGCTTAATTTTAAATGCTAGGAAAACATCTCAGAGTATCTGTCTCTACTGAATGTAATCATTGACATCTAAGAAAATGTTGTTACAGGAAGAACTCATAGATCAAACCAAGTCACTGCTCCCGAGTACGTCTTTTTGATTTCTGAGTTGGCGGGAGAACAAAGATTTGCATCTATTGTTGCTAAAAGACTTGAGAGTTTGGTAAGTTTTTGAGTAGTCTAGTGTGTAAAAGATGGTCTCTGTTACCTGTCTTGTAGTAAGGGGGCTAACCATGCTTTGATTGGAAATGTTTGTGTTTTGCTAGGGGGCCCTTACACATGGAGACAGGCGAGCAACAGAATCCAGGGACCTGAGCAGGTTCAACTTTGATAATAAGGTATGTTTTGGCATTCAGTATTTTTGAAAACTTGTAGAAGTGTGTGATGTCTATAGTGACAAAAGGAAAAGAGGTTACTGTTTAAAATTGAAAATGGGCTGGTACTGTAGCTCACTGGTAAAACACTTAACTAGCAAGTGTGAGGCATGGATTCAATCCCCAGTACTGCCAAAAATATAATTGAAAACTCTGTCTGCAGTTTTAGTTTTGCTTTTATATTATGACTTCCTTTAAGACGGAATTTCAAATATATGTTACATCTTTAGTGAGCCTGCTGCAATATAGTTATCTTTCCACTTCTATTGGGAAATAGAAATATAATAAATAGGAATGAATCAAGTGCAAGTTCCTGGAAGTAAAGCAAATTATTGTTTATTGAACAATGTGTACATAGGCTGTATCTCGGCAACAGAATAGACCTACAATGTGGCATGTGGAGAGCACTTGCTTAGCATGTAGGAGGTACTGACATATCAAATATATAGATAATTGAGAACTTTTAGTCTTGAATTCTTCAGTACAATAATAGTTTATTCAGTCTAAAATGTAATTGAAAAATGTCCTAAATGCTGAAAGTGGTTAAAATATTTTGGTTTTTATTGTAGTATGGAAGAAATGCTTTAGAAATTGTTATGAAATCCATTGTAAATTTGGACTCTCCTATGGTATCACCACCTCCAGACTATCCCGGAGAATTCTTTAAAGGTAATTTTTAAAAATAATGATAACAAAAAAGTCATAACCATGAAGAATACTTACTGATAGGAATATATTAAAACCTGTTCTAACATTTATTATTTTTTAGTTTTTATTTTTCTTTAAACACAACTTATAAACTTCAGATAACTTTTTACTTTTTATAATAAACAGATTGGTTATAAGTAACTTAATTCATATGAAAGTGCTTTTGCTCTTGGCAGAATTTATTGCATGTTGTCTTAAAACTGAACTTACTTGAAGAGGGTAGTTTTTTTAAAAATTAAATCACTCTGCCAAATACCTTTTAAAATTTCATTTTAATGTTAAAAAAACCTCAAGGTGAATAATCTGGGGGATGGGTTTTGTGGGGATTGTAGATGAAAGGACATAGTAATCATTGTAAAAACTAGGCAATGGGCACATGTGGCTTATAGGATCTTCTTTTTTGAAATTTTCATACTTAAAAAAAAATCCTTGCTAGTACCATGGAAATTACTCATTCCAAATTTATAAATCTATATTTTTCTCACCCCATTATATAAGTAGTTTAGATTTTAGTAGTTCGGAAAACTGAAAATATTTTGAAATATAAGGAGAGACCATTATATAAGTAGTTTAGATTTTAGTAGTTCGGAAAACTGAAAATATTTTGAAATATAAGGAGAGACCAGGTAACTTAAAGCGTTGTCATTGTGGAATTGACATTTTTCACCAGAAAGTGCTTTCCAGTATATCAGGACATACTAATATGTATCTGTAATAGTCTATGTTGACCTTCCAGTAAGGGTAGTCATCATCCCTGTCTTTTGACAGAAGAAATGACAAAGCTTTAACTCAGTTCTTATTTTCCTTCAGAGACCTCCAGTGACCAAAAAAAGAGACTCTTTCTCACTCTTTCACTTTTTTGATCATTGGAGGGAGTATACAAAATTACTGTTATTAATAAATGATCACTTATTCATTGTAAATAATGAAAAACAACTATAGTAAAACTGGGCATGGTGATGGATATCTTATAATTTCAGTTACTCAAGAGGCTGCTGAGGTGGGAGGATCTTATGTTTGAGGCCAGCCTCAGCAATTTAGTGAGACCCTATCTCAAAATAAAATATGGGCTGTGGAGCTGGGTGTGATGGTGTATGCCTGTAATCCCAGCAGCTCTAGAGACTGAGGCAAGAGGATCATGAGTTCAAAGCCAGCCTCAGCAACTTAGCAAGGTCCTAAGCAATTCAGACCCTGTCTCTAAATAAAGTACAAAAAAGGGCTGTGGATATGGTTCAGTGGTCAAGTGCCCCAGAGTTCAATCCCTGGTACAAAAAAGGGGGAGCTGTGGATGTAGCTCAATGGTAGAGCAACCCTGGGCTCAGTTTCTAGTAACCCCTCTCCCCAGAATGACAAGTTAATACTCACATTTAATTTTTAACCCTGAAATCACAGAAATTGACGGTGTGAACAGAGGCAGCACTCCACATCTTTTCTCTATTTAACAGCTGGGGTGTTCTTTTATTTACTTATTGTGTTCATTTATTTTATGGTACTAGGGAGCAAACCCAGGGCTGGGGATGTGGCTCAAGCGGTAGCGCACTCGCCTGGTGTGCGTGCGGCCCGGGTTCGATCCTCAGCACCACATACAAACAAAGATATTGTGTCCTCCAAAAACTAAAAAATAAATATTAAAAAAGGGGGGGGGAGCAAACCCAGGGTCTCATACATGCTAATAGCAATAATAATCTGACAGTTTATTCACTTACTTATGTTCAGATGGTTTCCTATTTTTTGCCACCAGAAACAGTGCTGAACTTACACAGCTATCCTTACATATAGGTGATTTTTCCCCAATTGGAGTGATTCCCAAAAGGAGAAGTCTGGGTCAGAGTTGACCCTCTTCGCTTATATACTCTTATTCTGTAAGTTTGGGTTGGAACCTATATACCTTTTTTTTTTTCCTTTTGGTATTTGGTGTTTGGGTTTTCTTCTTTCTTTTACAATACTCATCTTTGAATCCAAGGCCTTGTGCATGCTAGCCATGTGCTCTATCACTGAGCTCTACTCCCAATCTCCTACTTAAAAAAAAAAAAAGTCCATAAACTCCCCTCTTAGTATTAGAATTCAAGGCATATTGACTATGTGTTATTTACCTTTTGCATTACTTTGTCAATAATGGTAACATCTGAATAGAAGAATTATTATGTTATTAATTTATACAATTATTTGATCAATATTCTGCTGATTGTGCAAAATGGTTGAGATTCTGTGCATGACAGCTGCATAAAGAAAGGTCTCCATTGTGTGGTATTGCTATTGGAAAGATATTTTAATGAAGGTCCAGGGGTATATACATTTCAATAAGTCACCTTCTTAGCAAGCACAAGGTGTCCTGGGTTTGAACCCCAGTAACCTAGGAAAGAAAAAAACAAGAATGAAGGTAATATAGTATGAAGTTTGAGTACTGCAGGATTTTGGAGTGGCTAAAGACCTTTGGGGACTGTGAGTATCACTTTATTCTTCTACTTGGAACTGTGGGAGATATATAGGTTGAAATTTTTTCCCATCCTCTGTCTTTGGAGATTGAACCCAGGGTCTTCCACATGATAGGCCTGTGCTCTACCACTAAGCAGCATCCCCAGCCCTTTTTGTTTTTGATGAGATCTTGCTAACTTGCCCAAGCTGGTCTCCAAGTTGTAATCCTCCTACCTCAGCATCCCCAGTAGCTGGAATTTACAGGGATGTGCCACCATGCCCGGATGGGCTGGATCTTAACATAGAATTATTTATCTAGTTAGATTAGTTATGTAATAGCTTGTTGGATTGTTTGAATTAGGCTTCTTACAAATTTATTTTCTTACAGATGTTCGACAAGGACTGATAGGAGTTGGCCTGATCAATGTAGAAGATCGTTCGGGAATTCTTACTCTTGATAAAGGTAGTATTGTTAACTTTGTATGTGCATGTAACTCTTAAATTAGTGAAGTCCATTTTGGTATATTTGTTTTTGTCAACAGAGAGGAAGCTTTTAGGTCAGTAGTTGTGTTCTTGTTTTTGTTTTTGCACCGTCTTTGGGTGCTGGGGATCAAACTCAGGGCCTCATACATGCCAGGGAAGATTACTGTATCTCTGAGCCATATCCCCAGCCTTAGTCAATAGTTCTTAATCTATCATTATTGACCACTCTGTGTGCTTTGGCTATTGTGGTTTATTCAAATGAAGTAAAAAGTCTATTACGCCTACTGAGCAGTAGTTCTCAAACCTGGCTGCAAGTATGATCAACTGTTAAACTTTTAAGTAATACTGGCTCCAGGTGTGGAGCACAGATGGTTTTCTAAAGCTTACAAGTGTTCCAGACAAGGTTGAGATTCGCTGGTTTTCATAGGACTTAGAACTTAGTTCTAAGTTTTTTTGTATGTGTTTATGGTGATGAGGATTCAAGCCAGGGAAACTTTACCCCTGACCTGTATCCCTAGCCTTGTTATTTTAAGACAGGATCTTGGGCTGGGGATGAGGCTCAAGTAGTAGCACACTCACCTAGCATGCGTGAGGCACTGGGTTTGATTCTCAGCACCACATAAGTGTAAAATGAAGATATTGAGTCCACCTAAAACTAAAAAATAAAAATAAGTTTTGTTTTTTTTTTTAAAGGCAGTTTCAAAAAAAAAAAAAAAAAGATAGGGTCCTACAAGTTGTCCAGGCTGGCCTTGAACTTGCATTCCACCTGCTTCAGCCTCCTAAGTAGCTTGGCTGACAAGCATGTGCCACTGCTCCCAACTTGAGTGAAGATTTAATGTTGATGAACCAGTTGTGCTAAATTGTGTTCATAATTTTCCTTCAGCAAAGTTGAAAATGCCAAAAATCAATTTGCCAACATGTGCTAATGGCTAAAGGTAGAAATGGGCAAATTATAGCCCTATTGTAGGGACAGCATAAGAGTTGAAAGGGAAGACTTTGCAAAATAATGTGGAAGTTGAAGTTTGTCTAGAGGGTTATAAGAAGAATTTTAATTAACATTTGAACGCATGAAATTGTTCATATAATCTTTTTGCAGATTATAACAACATAGGAAAATTCTTAAATAGAATTCTGGGCATGGAGGTGCATCAGCAGAATGCATTGTTTCAGTATTTTGCGGACACACTTACTGCAGTTGTGCAAAATGCCAAAAAAAATGGAAGATATGATATGGGAATCCTAGGTAAGTGAGGAAATTTTAACATATCACATGTATTCCTAATCAGTGTTCATTTTACATTTACATGTTCCTTTTTCTCATTTAAGATCTTGGTTCTGGAGATGAAAAGGTGAGGAAAAGTGATGTTAAGAAGTTTCTGACCCCAGGATATTCAACTTCTGGCCATGTAGAATTATATACAGTAAGTTTGAAAAGTGTGTTCATGTTTGTGTTCGATTGTGTGATGGGCATTTACAGAGCTAATTTAATTTAAATCCTGTGATTTCTTTTACAGATTAGTGTAGAGAGGGGAATGTCTTGGGAGGAAGCAACCAAGATTTGGGCAGAGCTGACAGGACCAGATGACGGCTTTTACTTGTCACTGCAAGTACGATGTCTCCTTTGGATCTTGGCTGCTCAAATACATGATGCTTTTTACTGCCAGCATCTGTCTCTTCCCCTTTTTTTGTACATTTATGGTTGTTTCTGTCTCTGTTGTGATGGTTTATTCTTGTGATTGTATGTTTATCTGTTTTACATGCTTTTTTACTTAATATATTTAGAGGGTCACTACTATACTCAAGTTCATAATTTTTATTTATTCTTAGTAAATCAAATCTTTTTTTAAAATAATATAACAGTCTTCTTTAATCTTCTTAATGCTTCGTGGGTTTTTTGTTGTTGTTTTTGGAGGTTTTTTGACTGATTTAGAAGTGCTTGTGGGAATATTGCCTTGAGTTGCTGCCAACTGATCAGTTTTTCTCTGCCCCTATACTTAAGAGACATGTTTACCATAGACAAAGTCATAGGTTCACATTTTTTCCCTTGGCATCTTAGATGTGCTACTGTGTTCTTCTGGGATAAAAGGTTGTCCTTGAAGTTTCTGGTGCTCTGGTCTTTCTTTCTTGTTTCTTTGTTTCTTTCTTCTTTTTTATTTATTTAAAGTTGTAGGTAGTCACAATGCCTTTATTTTATTTATGTGGTGCTGAGGATTGAACCCTGGGCTTCACACATGCAAGACGAGCATTTTACCGATGAGCTCCAGCCCCAGCCCCTTTCTTTCTTTTTTAATTCATTTCTTTTGCCTAAATGCTCAAAGAATGTTCTCTTTAAAATATAGTAATTTTGCCAGATGCAGTGGTGCATGCCTATAATCCCATTGACTTAGGAGGCTGAGGCAGGAGGATTGTGAGATCAAACCTAGCAATTTAGCAAGGTCCTAATCAGCTCAGAGAGACCCTGTCTCTAATAAAATATAAAAAAGGGCTGGGGATGTGGGTTGGTGGTTAAGCAATCCTGGATTCAGTCCCTGGTAAATAAATAAATATAGTAGTTATACTATATTGTCAGGTATGTTTTATGCTTTCAGTAGTTTCAAATCTTATTTCAGAAAATTTTATAAATTTTATTTTTTGAAATATTTCTCATATTCTACTTTTTTGTCTTTCTCCCGTATTGGGGCTTATATTATTCTTATTTATTTATTTGTTTGTTTATGTGGACCTATATTATATAAATCTATCATTTTAATTATTTTGAAGGATGCATTTCAGTAGCATTAATTACAGTCACAGTATTTTGCAACCCATCACCAACTTCTGTCCAAAACTTTTAATTATCCCAGACTCAAACCATTAAGCCATAATGCCCCATTACGCCAGCCACCACTGTTCTACTTATTCTATGAATTTGTCTATTTTAGATACCTAATGTAAATTGAATCATACTATACTTGCTTTTTTATGTCTGACTTATTTCCCTTAGTCTAATGTCTTCCAGGTTTATTCATATTATGGCATGTGTTGGAGCCTCCTCATTTCTTTTTGAAAAGGAGGGACAATATTCCATTGGTTGTAAATTCACATTTTGGAACTATTTATGGAGTGACAGCTGTAAAGACCGAGATCAACTACAGTGGGGCTGGAGATGTAGCTCAGTGGTAGAGTGAGTGCTTAGCATATGCAAGGTCTTGGTTGGATGTCCAGTGCCAAAAATAAATAAGTGCATGAGGGAATCATATACAATGATGTCATAAGCAGCATAATTCCCTTAACCTTTCTGTAAAAGACCCAATTGATAATAACTGTCAGGTTTTGAAAGCAATCTCTGGTCTATGTTATATATCCATTCTTTTTTTTTTTTTTTTTTTTTTTCTTTTTTTTTTTTTTTTTCTTTCTTTTTTTGACTGTACTTAAACTTAGGAACCTCAGGCTAGAGTTGGTCTATTAAGTCTAATTTGCTGGTTCCTGATTTAAAGTAGAGCCCTCAAACCATCTGGCTTCTAGTTTGTAGTTTTTTTCCTTTTCTGTAAGATGTGGTCTTATTTTGTTGCTTAGGGTGACCTTGTACTCCTGGGCTCAAGTGATCCTCCTGCTGCAACCTCCTGAGTATCTGTGTCTATAGACATATACCACCATGCCTGGCTTGCTTGCTTGTTTGTTTTGAGTGGTGCTGAGAGAATTTTTTTAATGGATGTGGATTCACGTGCATCTAAAAGAATTTAGAGCCAGGCGTGGTGGTGCACACCTATAATCCCAGCAAATGTCTTAAAATAAAAAGAAGCGGGGATGTAGTTCAGTGGTCAAGCCTCCTTAGATTCAATTCTCAATACAAAAAGAAAAAAATAATTTCGAGAAATCCTTATATACTTTGCCCACTTCCCTTTATGGTAATATTTTGCAAGATTGTAGTATCACAATTATGATGTTAACAGTTAATCAAATAGGATGTTAATAATTAACCTAGTTTAGGGGTTGGGGATATAGCTCATTTGGTAGAGTGCTTGCCTTGCATGCACAAGGTATGGGTTCAATTCCCAGCACCACTAAATAAATAACCCATTTTATTCAGGTTTTCCCCTAGATTAGATTTTGATTAATTAGTTTAAATAGGGTGCTGTTATTTTTTAAATTGAAATTATTGTCAGAATTGGTTGAATTGGTTGAAAGTTCTGATTTTTAGCTCCCCTTGAGTAGAAGGATGTGGCAATTGGTTTCCCACATGGCAGTAGGAGACTGGATCCCAAGGGCAATGGTTCTAGAGGGGCATCATTCCAGGACCGTGCAGCCATTTGTCTCTGAACCTCCACAGCATTAAGCAGACATGCGTTATGTGTATAATGTGTGCTATCCTTAAGCAGCAGTGGAAAGGGTCACCTTTATTTCCCTTATACCATGATGATTTATTTTGTAACTGTAACTAGTTAGCATGACACTTATAGGACATTGCATGTCCTCTAAGGGACAGTTAGTGTGTTTCACATCATCTGATGGAAACTTTAAAAGTGTAATTTTCCCTTTATTATTTTGTGACTCTACTATAATTATATAAATTATAGTAAAAAAAAWTTTTTTTTAACTTGAACAGGTAAAAGACAAAGCATCTTTAAATTAGAGAGTGAAATACTGCCTTTTTACCATTGTAAGACGTGGCTTTTATCATAATATAAAGTTAATAGCTCAGTGAGCACTGTTATGTTGTGTGGAGGAGGTGGTAAAGCATTTGTGTTTTGAAATTTTCCCTCCATTTCCATACTAGAGATTATTGCTTGGAGCCGGGCACAGTGGTGCATGACTATAATCCCAGCGGCTCAGGAGGCTGAGATCAGAGGATCACTAGTTCAGAGCCAGCCTCAGCAAAAAGTGAGGCGCTAAGTAACTCAGTGTAGACCCTCTCTCTAAGTAAAATACAAAATAGGGCTGGGGATGTGGATCAGTGGTTGAGTACTCCTGGGTTCAATTCCCAGTACCCCCACTAAAAAAAAAAAAAATGAGAATTGCTTGGAAGTTCTGTACCTTATTAAAGAAGAAATAATTCCTTTTCCCTCAAACACCTCTTAGAAGTCCGAATTTTTTAAAAAATTAAAAATATTCAGCCAAGACTAAGTATGGTGCACACCTTTTAATCTGAGCTGTTTGGGAGGCTACCCTGGACAGTTTATTGAGACCCTTCCTCAAGATGAGAAGGGCTGGGGGCTACAGTTGTGGTTCAGTGGTAGTGTGTTCACCTAGCATGCTTGAGGCACTGGTTTTGATCCTCAGCACCACATAAAAACAACTAAAAATATATGTATTTTAAAAGATGTGAAGGGCTGGGGTTACAGCCCAATGGTAGAGCATGTTCAATCCCTAGTACTGCCAAAAAAGTTTTGTTTTTTAAGAGAGAGAAAATTTTTAATATTTATTTTTTAGTTTTTGGCGGACACAACATCTTTGTTTGTATGTGGTGCTGAGGATCGAACCCAGGCCGCACGCATACCAGGCGAGCACGCTACCTCTTGAACCACATCCCCAGCCCCCAAAAAAGTTTTAAAAATAATAAATTACACATATCTCTTAAAGCCAATGTATTGGTTCATGCCTGTAGTCACACTCAGGAGACTTGAGTCAGGAGAATCATTTGAACCAAGGCCAGCCTGAGCAACATAGACCCCAAATCTCCAAAATAATAAAGGTCAAAAATATAGACTTAATTTCCATGTTTCCTCTAATATTTCCTTTTCTGCATACTTAGTCACTCTTAATTTGCTCAGCATTTTGGCTTTCTGCTGTCATAGCCTTGCTGTTCACAGAAAGCTTATATAGGACATCATGCTTTGTCTCATTTCACCTCACAACCACCCTGGGATATAGGGAAAGGAAGGGCGCGTTGATGGAGAGCCCAAAGACGGGCCAGGCTCTCTGGAGGGCATCTTGGAGGAGGTTAAATTTTATTGCAACTGAAAGAGCTTTCTCTAGCAGTTTTTATGAAAATTTTAAAACATATAGCAGAGATGAAAAAGTTTTCCTGAGGTACCCTAAATAGTCTAGTTGTGTTATATGTATTTTTTTCCCTCTCAGACTGCTTGACTGTACAGAGAATAGAAGAAGCAAAATTGTCTGTATTGGACATTCATACTTTAAAAGCTTATTTCTAACATTTTTCTAAAGAATACCATGGCCCTCAACCTGTGTTTTTAGCCAGATTTATGTTGCTGCCTCTCTGGTATGGCCTTGTTAAAGTCTAAACATTACTATGTTTCTTTCCTCTCTCCCTCCTTCCCTCCCTCCCTTCCTTCTTTCCTTCCATTTTTGTTAACCCAGGGACGTGTTCCTCCTGCCTCAGCCACCCTAGTCCCTAGAATCATGTGTTATGGTCCTTTCTCAATGTTTCATAATCTTTTTTTTGAGAGGCAGGGAGGTACTAAGGAGTTTGAACCTAGGATGTTCTACCACTGAGCTATACCCCAGGGTGCCACCACTGCCCCCCCGTACCCCTCCACTTTGGGACAGGGACTCCTAAGTTCATGGCTGCTAAGGCTGGCCATGAATTTAGGATCCTTCTGATTCAGCCTCCCAGTTGCTGGTATTATAGGAGTGTACCACCATGCCTGTCTTGGTATTTTAATCTTTTCAATGATTATATTTGAAGATATGATGTAACAAAAATGTGTTTTAAAATCTATAGTATCAAATTTTCATATTTTCTCAATTGTTTTTTTTTTTCTTTTAATAGATAAGGAACAACAAGAAAACTGCAATCTTAGTTAAAGAAGTAAACCCTAAAAAGAAACTCTTCTTGGTTTATCGACCAAATACTGGGAAACAGCTCAAATTAGAAATTTATGCTGATCTAAAAAAGAAGTATAAGAAGGTATTTTCTTATTTGTATATTGCACTGCGTATTTAATACTTGTTTTATGATATGTTAAAATTATCAATAATAACTTCTAGACATAAAATTGTCAATTTTTATTTGGCTACTTTTTAAAAAAATTTTTGTTGTAGATGAACATGATACCTTTATTTGTTTGTTTATTTTTATATGGTGCTGAGGATCGAACTCAGTGCCTCACACATGCTAGATCAGTGCTCTATCACTGGGCCACAACCCTAGCCCATTATTTGGTTACTGTTTAAAGGACAAGTTTCAGAAAAATATTGTTTTGTTACACTAATATCTCAGTCTTAATGTTTTATTGACCATTGAGCACTTAATGATGATGATTTGAAACACTGTATATTATCAGTAAAGGTCACTTCAGTGCTGAGGAACAGGAGTTAGAATTTTCTTTTAAAAAGTGAAGATGTGTGAGATTGAAATTTCTTAGTACCAACTCTTGGGTTTTTTGTGAGTGGTATTTTTTGTATCTTGCAATGATTTCTAGAAAATACAAGTAACTTTTTTGTTTGTTTGTTTTAAGTAATATTATGATTAGTTTCTGTTTTTTTAATATTTTCTTAAATTATTATTCCTAGCCATTCTCGTTTGAAATTCATTATCAACTCTTATATCACAAAACATTTTGAGTGGTGTTCAAATTCAGCTAATAACAATGGTTAGGTTTTCTGTATAGAAATAATTTTAAGTTGGCCTGCCTTTGAAGTTAAAGGCTGGATAAGACAATCAAAGCAATACTGTTTAAATGGAATTTTTGTTTTATTTTTATAGGTAGTCTCAGATGATGCCCTGGTGCACTGGTTAGATCAGTATAATTCATCTGCAGATACTTGTACTCATGCTTACTGGTTAGTATTTTCATGTTTCTCACCATTTTTTTTTAAAAAAGAACAGTCAAGATTTAAACACACTTTTTCTTTACCAATATTTCTTTATGAGTAAATGAACAAGCTAGCTGTTATTAGGCTTGGTTGATTTCATCAGGAATTCTTCCTGGGCATTTGTGGACCGGATGCTGTCCAGGTATCCCCTGACTCTTCCTTGATGCTTTGTTATTTCCACCCACCCAGCTGGATGGTCTTAACTGTCATCCTTGGCGTTATAATTTGCTTTTTCTTCTCAGTTTCTTATTTTCTCCCTCCCTATATATCTTCTTTCCCTTCTTTATTTTTATTTATTTTCAAGTTTTTTAGTTGTAGATGGACACAATACCTTTATTTTGTTTATTTTTATGTGGTTCTGAAGATCAAACCCAGTACTTCACACATGCAAGGCAAGCGCTCTGCTGCTGAGCCACAACCCCAGCCCTATTTTTATTTATTTTAAAGCCTTACTGTGTCCAGCTCCAAGGAACTTCTAAGAACCTGGGAGATGCCCAAAGTAGCTGCATAACACCAGTAAACTTGATGTTCTTTCCTGGAGCTAATCCCTCTGGGCTCCCCAGCTCACCCCTTTCTGTGTTCATTTCAGGGTCTATTAGAGTATTTCAGTATTCTGCAGTGTTTTATCATACATTAAGTACTACTTTTATACTGCCTGTTCCATTCTCTGAAAAGGGTTGTAGAATATAAGTGAATTTGAGCTCAGAGTTTGTTGATTTTATGTTAGTATGGAAATTGAAGCCAGGCATGCTTTACAGCTGACCTATATTGCCAACCCTTTTAAATTTTGAGACAGGATCTCACTAACTTGCCAAGACTGACCTCAAACTTGAAATTCTTCTGCCTCTGCCTCTTGTTGTGTTGCTTGAATTATAGGCATGCACCAATGTGCTAAGCTTATTTTGATTTTTTATTCATACAAGTAGATGAATTTTCTTCAATGAGAGCAGTGTTTTTGTTTTCATTTTGAGATGCTTAAGGCAGTTAGTGAAAACTTTATAGCTTTCAACATAAAATATTTTTAGAAGTTAACCTCTAAGCCAGGCGTGGTGGTGCATGCCTGTCTAAAACATTTGCTTTGTGTGATAGCAAAAAAAAAAAAAAAAAAAAAAAGGTACCCATATGATACATATACACGTTGTATTAAATTCATCTTGATTTGATCCTGACCAGAAAGATTTCTGTTGATAATAACTTTGACCATATGATATTGGTATGTGTTACTTTTTTCTCCATGTGGTCTCTTTTTGTTTGATTACTGAGGCCTTTTCCATTAATTGGATTTAGACTGGTATATTGGCAATTTAATAATGTAGAAATGACTGGCTTCAGAAAACAGCATTACTACAGTAGATATAAAAGTGGTTAAAATGCTTACTAACACAGTAAGTCAGCCCTTTTACACCTAGGCAGCCCCACAAACAGCTGTAGTCTTGGAAGTCAATAGTAATAATTTGGAAGGATAATCCAGTATGCCAAAGATTATTATGTATGAAAAACTAAAGGCAAATAATGCTACATGGTTTCCATTTGAAATTTGGATAGACTTTGTAAACCCTTTTATGAATATGTGTTTGTATGTACATAACCATCCCCCGTCTCTTCTAGGCGTGGCAATTGCAAAAAAGCAAGTTTGGGATTAGTTTGTGAAATAGGTCTTCGCTGCCGCACATATTATGTATTGTGTGGTTCAGTGCTGAGTGTGTGGACAAAAGTTGAAGGTGTTCTCGCATCTGTCAGTGGCACAAATGTGAAAATGCAAATAGTTCGGCTAAGAACAGAAGATGGACAACGGATTGTAGGTGAGCCTAATTTTCATTTTGGTTTGAGTTGTAGGTAGAAAGTAGATCCTGCCTTATTGTTGTTTTTCTTCTAACATCTTAGATTTATTCCAGATGGATCTAAAATCTGTTCCAGCAGTGGGTGCAGAACTTGCAGGTCTTTGAACAGACATTGCAATCTGGCTATAGTTCTCATGTGATGGTCCCTATGGTGCTTCTTTCAGCTCGTCTTGGTCTACTGCTTGCTGCTGCTGCTGCTCTTTGGGTGGGCTGCTTGTGGTAAAGACAGCCCAGGCTCTTACCTAGGGCTCTGCATTGAGCTAGGTTGAGGCTACTGAACTCAAAGCCACTCGCCACAGAGGATGTTCCAAATACTGCAGGAAGCAAGAACAGACCAGAGTGGCTGCCCATCATTTGCTCAACAGTTGTCCCATCAGGTGGACCAGTTATTGCTCTTCGATTTATAGCCACTGCCTTTTGTACAGTGGGTTAAAGATTGATAGCCCATGTGCCAAAGACATTCCATAAACTTGACACCACCACCCCCTGCCAAGCCTTCAAGTTTAGTTTTAGCTTTTGATTGAACCCAGGAGCAGTTCACACTGAGCTACATCCCAAATCCTTTATAATTAAAAAAAAAATTTTTTTTAGTTGTAGATTGACACACCACCTTTATTTTACTTCATCACTTTTTTTTTTTAAAGAAAGAGTGAGAGAGAGAGAGAGATTTTTAATATTTATTTTTTAGTTTTCAGTGGACACAACATCTTTGTATGTGGTGCTGAGGATCGAACCCGGGCCGCACACATGCCAGGCGAGCGCGCTACCGCTTGAGCCACATCCCCAGCCCTTTATTTCATCATTTTTATGTGGGGCTGATGATTGAACCCAGTGCCTCACATATGCCAGGCAGGCACTCTCCCACTGAGCCACAACCTCAGCCCTCCTTTGTAATTTTTTAAAATTTCAAGATAAGGTATTGTAAAGTTGATGTAGGCCTGACTAAATTGCTGAGGCTGGCCTCAAAACGAGACTGAGGCAGGAGGATCACGTCTCCTGAGTCACTGAAATTACATGTGAGCTTCAGTGTAACCAGCTGTATTTTTGGTTGCAACAGATTTTCATGAATTAGTTGCCAGTATTTAAAAACTCAAGAGGTTTCATATAAAAGCCTGAATTTCCACCTGTTTCTCAAAAAAATCTTATGTGGAACATAAGTTCACATTCCCATACGACAAATTTTGAACTTCCCATAACCAGGACCTATGATTTCCAGTTGTCCTTTCAAAGTTACCTGCTTGGAAGAGCATTTGAGTTTGTATCTCCTGTTTTATATCATTTTGTGTATTAGTACCTGTCAAAGAAGATGTCTGCATATTTTTGCAGAGCCAGAATGATGGTGGACAGAGAAATGCTATACTTTGCTCTTCTGATCTTTCCTTAAGAAGATGGTGTTAGGTGGACGCAGTGGCATACACTTGCAATCTGAGCGGCTCAGGAGGCTAAGGCAGGAGGACTGTGGGTTCAAAGCCAGCCTCAGGCCTCAGCAACTTAGTGAGGCCCTAAGTAACTCAGCCAGATCCTGCTTAAATATAAATAAAGGGCTGGGGATGTGGGTCAGTGGTTAAGTACCCAAGTTTAATCCCTTATACCAAAAAGAAAAAAAAAAGATGGTGTTAACTAGACACATGTACTTGAGTGCTTGTGGGAAACACTGTTGAAGAATCAGGTTACGTCTTAATGGACCATTGCAGTTTTTAGGTACTTGTTTAAATTTTTTGCAAAATTATTGTTTATTCCTCATTTTAAATATGCTGTGAAGATATAAAATACAGTATGGTGTCTACTTGAGCAATATTTAGAATTCTTCTTGTTAATTGCAGGTTTGATCATTCCAGCAAATTGTGTATCTCCTCTTATAAATCTCCTATCAACTTCAGACCAGTCTCAACAGCTTGCAGTCCAACAAAAACAGTTATGGCAGCAGCATCACCCGCAGAGCATCGCCAACTTGAGCAACGCATAAAGAAAAGATAGGTTTCAACACGGATGTATCTGAAATGCTGTGGGAGCATATCATTTGCATAAAAATCAGGGACAGTTTCCAAAGAATTATATATTTTTTTCAGTTGTGCTCTCTGTAGTTAATTTTTGGGGGAATAAGGACAACCTGGAATAGATAAGAAAACTGAAAATCAGCAGTGCTGTTGGTGGTACATGTGTCTTTCCTTTTGCTTCTTTTGGGACTTTTCTGTATGCTTTTACTTTGGGTGAGCAGAGGAGGATGTGTGTGCACGTATGTTCTGTGTGTGTGTGTATGTGTGAGAGAGTGAGTCTGTTTGTGGATTTGTTAAAGGCTACAAACCACAATCATTTAAAATGCTTGGAACTTCCCAAACTGGCTTTATTTTCTGTTACACAGTGCTCAGGGTTAACACAGTACATCCATGTCATTGCTGTGGGAATTATCCCCAGATGCATGTGTTTCAAGTCTGTAATTATAGAAAATATATATTGGTTTCTTTTTCCAACTTAAACAATAGGTTTACTAAAGCATGAAATGAAAGGTTGCATTATCATGCATTCGGGTTCTTCTGTAGTTTTGTTTTGACCGTGCATGTCTTTGAAAGCATGCGTAAACAAGATTAACACAGGAGTCAAGTATCAGAGAGAAACATTTTTAGGTGTACAGCATTGGTCATTGCATTTTTATAGTGTTTATATCTGGGTATTGCTTCTAACCCTGCAAACCCCCCTCCCCCATCTTCTCTTGCCCCAGGTTTCTTGTCAAGATAATGAGTACATACCTTTTTTGTGATAAAACTCCGAAAAGTTAATTTTAATGTATTAATAGTATTCCTAATGTGTGCTGCAAAAAATGGCTATAAGCCCCTTTTTCTTAAAGTTACATTTTCCTTAAGGACAGTTTTAGGAAGAAATACAATTGGCTTCCATCTGGCAAACAATCTTTTTTTTTTTTTTTTTTTCATTATCTGAATTTACTTTGTCATTCATGAACAGGAAACCATACTTGAGTTGTGAACTAGACAATGAGGAAACACTTGAGGCTTCTGCTGTATGTGTTTTTTGTTGTTGTTGATGTTGTTGTTGTCATTGTTACCCAGTAACTTGAATATGTTTAACATGTTGTAAGACATTGTAGAGTTTATTTCAAGCTGTTAAAAATGGTAATGTACAAATGTGAATAGACACTTATCTATAACATGGGTAAGTTTTGTTTCGCCTATAATAGATGTTTATAAAAACAAGTGAGGGGACAGTTGGTCTTTTTGTTTCTCCCCCCCGCCCCTCCTTTTTTTGCTTGCACAGGTTGCACTATTGAAAATTTGAGATTGTATAAACCTGGTCAAAAGCTGCAAGATACCAATATCTTGTAGATGTTAAATAAAAAGTTATTATTACTAATGAAGTGGACTCTTGTTTAGGCCCTCACTGGGGACTTTTAGAAATAGTCTGATGGGGCTCTGTAGAAGTTGGTATGGCCTCAGCATTCCAGGTAGCTTTAGAGTCTGTATAAAATTTGCTTAAATTTGAGGTATTGTTGAGGAAAGGGTAACATGACAATACTTTCGAAAACTGAATTGTTCCTATTGTACCTTTTTAAATTTTCCAGAGAATTGAGTGAGATGTGTGTTAAGTGATAGAACCTGATGAAAAGTTTAGGGCTTTCATCTTCTGTTTCTTTCAACCTGAGTTTGGTTATGTTTACCCAGTAAGTTTTCTTTGGATTTATTTATTCTTAGTGCCTAAAGAACAAATTGAGAGTCACTCTTCTTGTTGTGTACACTTTGCCCAGTAGACTCTCATCCTCAGTCTAGTCCACGTGTCTCAGGCGGTTACCCATATACATATACCCATCAGTGTCCCTGTCAGAGCCACTAGGTCCAGCTGACAGCCATGAGCAGAGTTGTGTCCACCTTCAGGATAACCTCCAATTTAGTGCTTCTGTTTTTAAGCTGGTGGTAAGGTGAATGTGAACTGGGGAAGGGAGGCATATCTAATTTGCTCCCTCCCATGAGATAAAATGTTGGGGTCAGGAAAAGTACTATGAGATTGTTTGACTCTTCCCCTTTCTGGGTGTGAGGGCATCTGTTTTAGCAGGTCCTGGCATTTTATGGTGTTTTCAGAACAGCATCAGCAGAAAGATTCTTCGCTGATAGTTAAGTGATACTTCCCTCACTCTACCCCAGATCATGCTGTCATGTTTGTTCTTAGAGTAGTCACCTTGATACAGAAGGGCCTATGTAGGTTCTGTTCTTTGTAGAACCTCCTTTTTGTTGTTTATTTTAAAAATAAGATCCAGAAACAAGGCATCTGAAAGATTTCCAAAAGGTGACCAGTGTGGATGGATAGGAGCTGGGGTGCCACATGCCCACATCTGTTGTACATGTATAGCACCGAAGGCTAGTGCCCAACCCCTGGAGGTGAATATCTGGCGTCTTATACCATGCTCCTACAAAAGTCAGCAAGTCTAAGTTGGCCGCCAGGGAAGCTCCAGCATTCAAGGGCTTCTGTCAAAAATCAAGTCTTCATAACAGCTAATCTGTGTAAAATAGGTTTGTGTTTTTCAGGATCTAAATGCCACGTCTATACCCAGAGGCCTTGTTAACCCAACGTGAGTCCACTCCAATGCCTTTTTTCCTCTTTAGCAATATGACTCTGAGCATGTGGATTTGATTGTAAATCATCAGGGTTTCAGAGTTCACAGTGCCGATCATGGTACAAACCACTCCCTGAGTCCAGAGCTGCTCAGTTGTCCTAGTTGGGGAAGTGGTGTTCCCCTCACTCAGCAGCCTCCACACCACAGGTTCTGTCTGCAGTCTAGCTGCCTTATCCAGAGAGGTTTTCAGTGTTGAATTCATGAAAATATTAACAAAGTATTTCTTTAAGCAAAATTTGATCAAAAAGTGGATGTGTTAAGCAATTTTCCTTTTGCTAATTTGCAGATGCTCTTCTTATCTTCTCTTTACATGTATATAAATTAGCAAGAACCAGCATCCAAAGCACTGTAGCGGGGGAATGGAGGGAGTGAGAATGTATTAATTCAGTAGCACTTCAGAAACCTTTTTGAGTTGCAACAATGAAGAACCTTTAGTTTTGAGTTTGCTCTATCTATAAAGGTAAAAGTTTTAGATTATGAAACTTTGGAGGAATATAATCTTTTAGAGCCACAGTGTTTTACTGTAGCCCCTGAGGCATCGATTGGCTGGTCTCCATATGATGCTCTATTAGAACAACTTCTAACAGGGAAGAAAAGGGGTGCCAGGACACCTCTTACACTTAGGACCCCCACCCCCCTTTCCATTTTAGCATGAGGGCAAAAAGCAATAGATTAAAGTGATAGCTGCATCTTACATTATGAAGGTAGGGACAGAAGTTCCCTTCAGGTCCTTTTCTTAGTAAGATGGGTCTTATCCAGGTAATCTCATTTTAAAAATGGACCTAAGCTGTACTGGGTAGTTTCTAAGAATGGTGCTATGAAGGAGCTACTGTTGGGCTGGATCCAGATGAGGAATGTTTTGATTAGTTCAGGAGTCCCAATGGCATACAACCACTGTGACAGTGGGCATTTGTTGTCGCCCTTGTGTCTTTGGTCTGCGTGGCTAACACCACACCCCATGCACACTTTGCTGCTGAATGTAGCAAGTATTCCTGTTTGGCTGCAGCTCAGCAAGAGCATTTGCAGAACAATAATCCTCATTCAAGGCCAATTGTTCATTACAAATGCCAGTGTCTTTTAAGTGAAAGAAACATCTAGATACCTGCAACTCAAGCTTATTAGCTAGTAGATTTTTGTCTGAGTATGTTGGTGATATCTAGAGCCCACTCTCAGATGTATGCTGTACTTATATATGTGTACATATGTGTGTATATATAGAAATGAGAGTTCTTTTGAATTCTGAATGTAAATATTTCTTGTACATTTGGGACCCTACCTGCTTGTTTTTCCCTTTCCCCTCTTCCCTTCATTCCTATTTATTCTTTTGACTTCCCAAATGGGGCATCTTACTTTTTTTTTTTTTTTAAATAATTTAGGAAAGTATGGAAAACTTGTTTTATTTGAAATTGTTCCTATATTTTGGTATTTAGTTTTGCATTTTGCTATAGAATTCCTGTCTGGTTTGTGTTAATGTTTTTCAACATGCTTGTTTGCATTTTTATTACAGTTTTTACTACGTGCAGTGCATTGTATTGGGGGAGTGCACTTGAGTGCCATTTCTGATGCTGTCATCATTCATGTTCTTTGGAGGCTGTAGTGAGCCTGATGTTTTCACATCTTAAAAAAAAAAATCCCAAAACTTGCTTGAAGCTCCTCTAACTTCTTCAGTGCATTTGGGATCAAGCCTAACTCTTCAGGAAACCTGACTTGCCTCTGCCCTTGAAATTTTCAGGCCTGTACCAAGTCCCAGAGCTCCAGCTTTCCACTGACAGGAACATCTTTGCACATTTGAAACAGTGGCTCATGGCCTGCTGCTGCTGCAGATTCCTTGTGTTTATTTAAAGAAGTTGGGGCTGGCTATACTTTTAAACCATATAGAACAATCAGAAATGTACTTTGCAGCAAACCCAGCTTTGGGTGCAATTTGTCGAGCATGTTTTTAACAGGTGGGAGACAAGCCTGGTAGAAGGTTAACAGGTGACTTTAGAGAATGTGCATTAAGGAACATCTGTCCTCCCTAGGAGAGCACCACCACCAGTGAATGCTGCTACAGCCTCCAGCACACCACAATTTCTGTTGAAGGGCCAACCAGTGAGTCTCCTCCGCTGCTGCTCTCCCCTATGTTGGGGACTTAATCCCACCCCCCTCCTTGTTCTAAGAATTAAACCCAGGGCTTCTTATATGCTAGGCAAGCTCTCTACCACTGAATCACACCCCAGTCCTGGGGACTTGACTGGGTCAGACATGAAGGTAGGAGCTGGGCTGGAGTAATGTGTTCTAATAGTGTTAGCAATAGGGAAGGCCCTGGGCTGGTTTTTGGGGACAGTGGCAATTATCACCCAGGAAGCAAAGATTTTGTGTGTGTGTGTCGGGGGGGTGTTTTGTGGTGCTGGGGATTGAACTAGAGCCTTGTGTATTAGAGGCAAGCATTCTACCAAGTAAGCCATATCCCCAGCCCAACATTGGGTTTTTACTTACAGATTTTGCACCTTTAAGAAAAATGTTCCCCTCTAATTTTCAGGAAAGATTGCTGTGAGCACTTCCTGGGCCTTTCCTTCATGTACAAATTTCATTCATTATTATTTAGCTTTGTAGACCAGTTGACATTTCGATGTTGTCTGCATTTGGAGACAATTGGGGCCTGTCACAAAGCCTCCCAGCGTAAGTTGCCCTGCTGTCTTTTCTGCTCCCAGCAGCAGTTGGCCCAGGTGGTTTGCAGCAGCAGGTGGCAGGGTTCAGCTAGGCTAGATTACCTGTCCAGCAGAGTTGATAAAGGAGGGAAGCCTGGGAGCTGGTTCTTTTTTAATTTTGCAATTTTGGCCTCTTCAGGGCTGAAGGTCAGTCTGCAGGTTCCTTGGGGAGACACAACTGGCTTTTTACATTTGCAGCCTTCTAACCCAGACCCTGCCCTGAGCAGGTATCTCTGGCTTGTAGGCACTGAGGGCCTTTCTCATTGTGGCAGTGTTTGTGGCACTGAAGAGGGTAAAGAAGCTGGAGTCTTCCCTCTGGCTCCCAATTAGGGGACAGAGAGAGCTTTTTTCCCACATAGCACATTGCAGTCTCACCACTATGCGGAAAAAATCATCCTGTTTGTGATTTTTATACTGAATCTGCAACTACTGATATTACTTTTCAATAGCCACTTGTATCTACCATCAACCATGAGAGGTGTGAAGAGGTATGCTGTATCTCTGCAATAAAACTTTTGCCAGGTTCTACCTCCTTGAGCAAAGGATATTTTCTACGTAGGCGTAGATCTTCCTCCTTTACTAGTCCGACATGGTGCATCTTGAGACGACATCTGGTGGAATCCAAAGACCAGAGGTGGATGTGAACTCTGGGTTGTCTTTGTTCTCTTCTTTCTCTTCAGTCTCCCTTTTTGTGTTGCTGCTCTGTTCAGGAGCGTGCGTCGGTGTGGAGGGTACGCACTGTTCTCAGTGATGCTGCACTGCTGCCTCGGATTGTCCTGGGAACACAGTACCAAGCGTCCAGAATCGACTGTCCCCACCATTTTGATATATGTGTAACTAAACATCTGTCTCATGCAATAAAGTGTGTCGGCTGCGTCTAGCAACAAGGTTTACTCTTGCAAGTAAAAAGATCAACCATGAAGCAACAAATTCTGTATTTAGGTTTTTGTTTTTCTTTCTTCTTTTTTCTTTTTTTTGTAAAATTCTTAAATAAATAAATGAATATGCTTCTCTCTCAGCTTCTTCGCTTCTGTTGCCCTGTGTCAATGCCATCTCAGTCACCTAGAGAGCTGTTTTCTCTGTGGGAGATTGGGGCCTTTTTGTGGGCATTGTGTTTAAATGAGGCAGGAGGATCATGAGTTCAAGGCCAGCCTCAGCCACTTGATGAGACCCTATCTTAAAAGAGAGGGGTGAGGGCTGGGATTGTAGCTCAGTGGTAGAGTGCTTGCCTACCATGCGTGAGACACTGGGTTCAATCCCTGGCACCATAAAAAAATAGAGGGGAGTGAAAATAAGGGTGCCTGGGGATGTGGCTCAATTGTTAACTGGTTAAGCACCCCTGGGCTCAATCCTCATACTACCAAAAAAAAAAAAAGTTTTCTGAAGGGTATGGAATTAGGAGAGTAACTGAAATCAGTAAAGCAGCAAGGGCCTGGGGACCCTTTAAGGAGGCCATTGACCCCTGAGCCAACACCAGGAAGCTGAATGTCTCTGGGATGCAGGTGGATGGGCTGGAAGGGACTAGGCCCAGCATAGATGCACAGGGACTGGCCCAGACTGCTAGCCTACTCCCACCCTAGAAGGGAAGTCAAGAAATTGGAAATGGAGGGAAAGCACCACCAGAGAGGGAAGCAGGGCTTGTTTACAGCTGCCTGCAGATAACGGGGTGGGGGTGGGGGGGTGGAGGTGTCTTCACCCTCCACAACTGCTTTAAGCCTTTACATGTCCCTGTGAGGTTTAACTGTCAACTGTTTACAGATGAAACAGACTCAAGACATCAAGAAAGCCTGCAGGGCTGGGGCCTGTTTCCAGCCAGGTAATGTGGGCCCAGAGCTGGCCCTGCTGTCTGCCAGACCTCTGTGCACATGGGCTGGAGAAGGAGTGAAGCCCCAGGGTGGATGTTTTTGGGGGGTGTGGGTGGAATGCCAGGGATCAATCACTGAGCCACATCCCACCTCTTTATTTTTTTTTAAGAGAAGATCTCACTGAGTTGCCCAGCACCTCCCCATTGCTGAGGATGGCTTTGAACTTTGATCATCTTGTCTCAGCTGCTGGTATTACAAACAGGAGCCACCACATATGGCCCCCAGGATGAATTCTTAACAATGTTTAGAATGTGGCTAGTTCAGGTTTCTCTGTGGTGTTCTAAGTGCTTGAGAGAGTTGTATTCAATTTGTAGGTTGAAGTATGTAAGTGAATTTAAACAAATTTATGAATGATGTTAATATTTAAGGGAATTAAATCTATCAAATATATGGGAGAGCATAATTGAAAAACAGTCAAAGGGAATGTTTTAAATTTCAAATAAGGGCTGGGGATGTGGCTCAAGCGGTAGCGCGCTCGCCTGGCATGCGTGCGGCCCGGGTTCAGTCCTCAGCACCACATACAAACGAAGATGTTGTGTCCGCCGAGAACTAAGAAAAAATAAATAAATATCAAAATTCTCTCTCTCTGTCCCCCCCCCCCTCACTCTCTCTTTAAAAAAAATAAAATAAATTTCAAATAAAATTTGACAAATTCTTGTTGAGCTTGAAGACTAAAAGGAAATTTATGTTTTAAAATTTATGTATAAATTTTTTTTCTCTGGGGATTGAACCCAGGGGTGCTTTACCACTGAGCTCCAGCCCCTCCCCCCTTTTTAAGGTTTTATTTTTAATTTTTTAAAAATTATTGATAGTTGGGGCTTGCGATATAGCTCATTTGGTAGAGTGCTTGCCTAGCATGCACAAGGCCCTGGGTACCAAAAAAATAATAATAATAATAACAATAAGAAAAGGTGTCTACTTTTAAGAATTTGTTGATAGACCTTTATTTTATTTATTTATATGTGGTGCTGAGAATCAAACCCAGTGCCTCATACATGCCAGGTGAGTGCACTGGCAATGAGCCACAACCCCAGCCATATTGTTCATTTTGAGACAGGATTTCATTAAGTTGTGTAGTGCCTCACTAAGTTGCTGAGGCTGGCCTCGAACCTGCAATCCTCCTTCCTCAGTAAGTTTGATAGAGTATTGGCCAGATAAGCTGGCACATGCCTATAATCGCAGCGACATGGGAGGCTGAAGCAGGAGGATGGTAAGTTTAAGACCAGTCTGGGCAACTTAGACCCTGTCTAAAAATAAAGGGTGGGAATAAAACTCAGTGGTAAAGCACTCCTGGGTTCAATCCCCAGTACCAAAATAAATAATAAAATAAATTGAGTATTAATTTAAATAAAAAATGAGAGATCAAAATTCCAGCAGAGCCTCCACCATCCTCTTGAGTTTTCTTGCTACAGTTTAATATGCTTTGACCTCATTGTCTTCAGTGCTTTCTTTGTCTCCGAGTCAGATTTTAGTTTTGCCGTGTGTTGCCCTGATCTTGGCTCTACAGACTTTTGGCTCTGGCCATTGTGGTGGCGACTGCCCTTGTCAGCACCATCCCTGGCTTACACCCACCAGATCTCACTAGCGTATACTCCCCTCCCATTTGTGACAACCCAGAATGCCTAAGTACCCCATGAGGGGCAAAGTCATCCTTGGGAACCCCATTCGAGCAAATCAGCCATAAAAAGGCAAAAGCTCATGTCTGTGTTGTGTATGTGTACGCAAGTACACTTTTGTGTGCATTTCATAGAGGACAAATCCCATGAACAAAGGGCACCACCCCTGAGATACAGAAAATACAAATGTTAGTGGGCTGATGGCTTGGAATTCGTACAATACCATTTCCATAAGTATGAATATTTATCAGCTAGTCATTTGAGAGCATGATGTAAAGAAGCCATCTGTGGAGGCCTTTATGGGGAGAAAGAAGCTAAAAGAAATGTGCAAAGTGCTTATTTTTAGAGTCCAATTCTCTGCAAGTTGGCTTCGTCCTCTGAAAGCTGCCCACTCTGGGTGTCAAGTGTATTACTGGGTTAGGAGAGGCAGAGCCATGCTCTTGAATCCAGATCATTGTTGACTGGAGAACTACCACTGACTACATACAAAGGTAATATGGCTAGGGCGACACTAACTTAGTCTGAAATACATGATTTTACTTCTTCAGTTGGTGGTTTGCTTGAATAAGTATGAGCGCACGGCAACAAGCAGATGAGAAGGTACAGAGGAAACTGCTTTTCTTCCTGCTCTGCTGCCCCGTTCCCTTTTCCATGCGGACATTCTGTTCAGTTTCTTTTCTCTAGGAACTTTAGAGGGTACATTTTGTAGTCTCAGAAAATGGTCTAACATCTGTTGTTTAGTTCGGTTCCAGGTATGATTTCGTTTTTGCAAAGATTGATGTGAGAGCCCTTGGTTGCTGGCGAAATCCAAACTAGAATAATTAATAAAATTGTAGGGCTGGGGATGTGGCTCAAGCGGTAGCGCGCTCGCCTGGCATGCGTGCGGCCCGGGTTCGATCCTCAGCACCATATACAAACAAAGATGTTGTGTCCGCCGAAAACTAAAAAATAAGTATTAAAATTCTCTCTCTCTCTCAAAAAAATAAAACAAAATAAAATTGTAGGAAGTTAGCTGGACACAATGGCTCACATCTGTAATCCCAGCAATTCAGGAGGCTGAAGCAGGAGGATTTCACATTGCAAGCCAGTCTGGGAAATTAGGCAAGACCCTGTCACAAAATAAAAATAATTTAAAAGGGAATGTAGCTCAGTAGTAAAGTGATCCTGGGTTCAACCCTCAGTGTTTTCTTTTTAATTTTTTTCTTAATTTTTTAGTTTTAGGTGGACACAATCTTTGCTTTTTTATTTTTATGTGGTGCTAAGGATCGAACCCAGTGCCTCACACGTGCTAGGTGAGCGCACTATCACTTGAGCCATATCTCTAGCCCAAATTTTAATTTTTTAAAAAATATTTTTTAGTTAATAGATGGACACAATACCTTTATTTATCTTTATGTGGTGCTGAGGGTCAAACCTAGGACTTCACACATGCTTGGCAGCATTCTACCGCTGAGCCACAACCCCAGCCCAAACCCTCAATATTAAAAAAAAAAAAAAGGAAATCCAGCAGCATTAACCTGCAGCCAAAAGTAAAGTGTTTGGGGTTGGGTTGAGGTGTGGCTCAATGGTAGAGCACTTGCTTAACATATCCAGGATCCTGAGCTCCATCCCAGCCCCGCCCTATGTGGGGGGGAGATCCCATCTTCATATGGATGTATGAAGATGTGCAGGCACACACACACTGAAAGCTGTGGAAACAGAAAGCTAGACAAATCAGTGTCAATGCAGGAATTGAGAGCTTTGTATTATTTACTTCAATTTAGGACTAGAGATGAAAAATAGAAACTTTAAGGAGTCTATTCCCACCAAAACCTTTTTTTTTGAAGTGCTGGAGACATGCACATGTCCTCTACCACTGGGCCACATCCCAGCCCTGGGGACGGGTGTTACGTC